GTTCTAAATTACAGTGTAATAAATATATTTGTTTTGCTATTTTTTTCATTTCCCTACACATTTATAACTGACAATATGAGAGTGTTTAATGTCTTGACAAAAAATTAAAAGCCATGGAACTATTGTGAATTTTCCAACTTATTATTATGGTTGCTATGCATGGTTGCAGGCTTAATGGTCATTTACAGTCCCGTACTACCATGTAAACCAGAACGAACTGTATTTTTTTAAAAAAGAAAAGAAAAAAAGAAAAGAAAAAGCTTATCTGCTAATACCTATTGAAGGTGCAATCCTAGGGCAAAAGGGAAGGCGATATTATCAGTAACTGCCCTGTGGAGACTGGAGTCACAAAGAGGTATTTTTCTGATTACTTATGGTCTAAAAGAAATACTTTGAAATAAGGTTTTTGTTGCTACATAAACTTTAAAATGAAAGGTCTGGACAAAATGGGAAGATTCAAGCAGGATGTTCATGTCTTCTTTTATCTTTAAACTTGAATCTGTCAATGGAGAAATAGCAAGAGCCTCATCTCACAAGGCAATCCCAATAGCACGACATTAACCCAGCCCTAAACCTAACCCTAATCCCAATGTCTTGGAGCATAAGGACAAATCTGAGAAACACCCAGAGACATTTTACTTCTCCCATTCTGTCTCCTGCTTATAAGAGCTGGAAGTTGGAGCTTTTGTGAAGTAGCTGAAGGTGGTGTTGGGTCTCCTTTTTCACCATTGTTTTCCTGCTTTCTCTCATGTGAAGGGGGGAGAAAAATTAAGTATCACGCATCCTTTCCTTTCTTTTTCAACACCAAGACCATCAGCAGCACAATTGCAAGATCCATGCTATTCTCTTGAATGAAACTTGTAGTCCTGTGAGTGTTTAGAAGGAAGTAGATACAACACAATCCTGCAAGGGCTGAGAGGGTGGGAGGGTTCTTAATCCCTTAAAAGGTACCCTGATGACTTAGCTTTTGTGGGCTCCAAAATTACCAGGAGAATGATCTTGAGCTCTGGGCAAAAAAATGAGTCCTCAGAATTAGCATATGAGTGGCTTCTCCTGTTGTCGATGGGAGTTTAACAACCATAGCGATGTTTCACAAATATTATATGTTGGCTAACTGAACATAATAAAAAATTTTCTTAAATCCTGGGGAGCAGGGTTTCCAGCAAAGATTTTTTCCCTTAAAAATAATACTGGAGGAAGTCTTAAGCCATAGAATATTAATGTTTTATTTGAGATACAGAGTCAAGAGAGTTTATCCCCTGTGATTTTATCTCACTTGGACGTTGTTCCAGAAAAAAAAAAAAATGTTTGTAAACATGACCTGTGAATTGGGAAAGTATAAACTGCAATGCCTCCACTTCAGGTCAGACATGATAAACCTGTTTACAGATCCCCAAATCCAACTGACTCTAAAAAATACAATATCAGTCTAAGGGTTTACTTCTCAACAGTATCAGTACTTGTATATTCCAAATGTTGCTTAATATTATCACTAATTAACATTATCAGAACCAAACACATAACCAAAATACATATGTAAAAGTACATTTCTGTCTAACTGCCATGTCTTTAAATTATCAAATTTCTGAATAGTATTATCCAAATCTAGGACACAGTTTTGTAAGATATTTACTAGGGTTCCATTGGAAGGAAGAAAATGAAGGTCTATTCTAGAAACTTGGTTAGCCAGTATATTTTTGTATATTTACAAATTTGTTTTTTAAATATTTGATTCTTTTCAGTCTAAACTTCTGCATTTTTTAATGTTTTGTTTTGTACACAGTCTATTAAGGTAGTAACACATATATAAATAAGCAAACATACATTGTACATCCATATCCAAAAATTTTTTTTAAAGATTTTATTTATTTGACAGAGATCACAAGTAGGCAGAGAGGCAGGTAGAGAGAGAGAGGAAGGGAAGCAGGCTCCCCGCTGAGTGGAGAGCCCCATGTGGGGCTCGATCCCAGGCCCCTAAGATCATGACCTGAGCCGAAGGCTGAGGCTTATAATCCACGGAGCCACCCAGGCGCCCCCCCCAAATTTTAATGTTAGGGGTCTGTAATAAAAAATAAATTGTGGACCACTGCTTTAAAGAAAATTCCATTTAGAGAGTAGATGAAGGACATATTTTTAAAAGTTGTAAGTGATAAATCACTGAATTCTATTTCTAAAACCAATATTGCTCTGTATGTCAACTAAAATTAAAATAAAATTTTAAAGAAAAATTAAAAAATAATAATAATAAATAAAATAAAATTTGAAGGCTATGGTACATCTTTGAAACAGGTATGTTAACCAAAACTTTGATCTACATGTAAGATGAAAACACTAATTTCTATTAGAATTGAATGTCATGGGGTGCTGGGTGGCTCAGTGGGTTAAAGCCTCTGCCTTCAGCTCAGGTCATGATCCCAGGGACCTGAGATGGAGCCCCGCATCGGGCTCTCGGTGGGGAGCCTGCTTCCTCCTGTCTCTCTCTGCCTGCCTCTCTGCCTACTTGTGATCTCTCTCTGTCAAATAAATAAATAAAATCTTTTTAAAAAAGAATTAAATGTCATTAGTATCTTTTTTTAAAGATTTTTTATTTATTCATTTGAGAGAGAGAGAGGAAGCAAGAGTGTGAGCAAGGGGAAGGTCAGTGGGAGAGGGAGAAGGAGACTCCCCACTGAGCAGAAAGCCTGACACAGGGCTTGATCCCAGGACCCCAAGATCATGACCTGAGCTGAAGACAAACGCTTAAGTGACTGAGCCACCCTGGCGCCCCCGTCATTAGTCTTACATTAAATAAATCAATCAACCATTAGCCAACTAACTCATAAACCCTTGATCTTTATGGAAGTTCCTTTCCTTACTAACTAGAATCTCTGAAGGACCTAACATCACAAAAAGTCAACTGAAAAAGATCTATTCATCTATCAAAGACTAAATGAACCAATCAACTCTGCCAGAAAGTTGGATGTTCAGTAAAATATTCCTTGGTCTAAGTTATTTGACATCATGCAGTGGAAACAACAAATTGAGTGAATTTGTGATTTTCCTACCTATCCTCTTGTCATCATTGCAAGACATACATAAATCCCACCAAAGGATTTATTCTTCATCTCAGGTAGCCCAAGCTCTTTTGTTAGGCTGAAATTCAAGCATGACCATTTTGTGACGTTGTTTTACTTGTAATAAGATTAATGTTTAGTACCTGTGGTGAACCACAATTTGCCCTTCGTTACTCATAATTTCTAATTGTATACAATATAATTATTGTTAAACAGAGGTAACACTGGGTAAATGAAAGAATAAATGTTTTCACTTTTAGATACTGATTATCCCAAATAATAATTATTGTCATCACAATGTAACCAAATGTTAAAGTGGGACTCTTTCCATCTCAGTTTCTGCTCAGGCCCAACAGGTGTTGACTCTTCCCTCATTCCAACATAAAATGCTATGCCACTAAAACAGGAGCAAAGGAGATACACAAGAATTAGTTTTGCAACCCACTGGTGACCACTTCCAGCTTCTAAAATGGACTGCAGAAACCAAGAGCTGGATTGTTGATTAGAAGAGGATTTTTAAAGAGTTACCACTGTGTACGACAGGAAGAGGTACTCTCTCCTCACCTTAAACCTAGGGAAAGTGACTCTAATGGCATCGTTATCTTTAATAGGCGAGCTTGAGGACACCAGCTTGAGGACACCATAGGCCAAATCCAGGCCTCTACCTGGGAAATCTAGAGTAAGAGGGAGGGGCTGACTAGCTGTTTTGATGGCAGAACAATAGAGGAGTCTGTACTGGAATGAAACTGACTCTTGTCAGAGCATAGAACATGAAGAGCTTCCCGTGAACCAATACAGACTGAGAAAGAGACCTAGCATGGTATTGTTTCACATGATGGCCAAGAGACCTCCTGAAGGATGGGGAGATCTCTGCAAAAGGAGTCAAGATGCATTCCCTTGGATGGTATGAGAAATATAATTGTCCACCACCAAGGACTACCGTGAGAAATTCCCAGTGATGGCAGAGTTCTCCAAAGGAGCCTCAAAAGCACCCCAGAAGAGAAGGAGACAGCCTCAAGCACCTATGCCATCGCTAGATTGCTAGAACAGAACCAGACTTTACCTGACTCTTAACTCCTCACCTTCCCGAGGCTTCACTTGGAGGGACTAAAGGCGGGGAAATAAAGGAGACAGCTCGTGGTCCATCCTCCCTCTAAAGTGGTCCAGCTTGAATTAGGCATGAACTGGAAGGAAAGAGGGTGTTAACTTGCAGTACATTTCTTAAAGTTAAAAAAAAATCATTATTATTATTACATATTATTTTAATGAGGCTCGTTGTGGGAGAATAAAATAAGCATAGAGGATTTTTTAAACTTTATTTCCTGAAAGTTACTAGAAAAGCCACAAGGCCCATTGTATTTGACCAGGGACAAGTAAAGAACAAATCTCCAGGAACAGCTTTGAAAGGAGGTAGGGGAAAAAGAATGAAAATGTTTTCTATTGTACGGACATTGCAAATTCTGTTTGTATAATCAATCATAAAATCAATCAATAATGACAGCTAAAATTTATCAAATGCTTATTATATGGCAGACCCTGTATGATCTCCATGTATTAAATCATTTCATCCTCACAGCCCTGTAAGATTATTATACTCATTTTCTAGGTGAGCGAGAAATTCAGGTGCAGAGAGAGATTAGGTAACTTGCCTGAAGTTGCCAGTTAGTAAGTGGCAAAGCCACTGATACGGCTACTCCCAGCCAATAAGAATTCAACTCCTTCCTCAAATGTTTCTTTTCTCTCAATATCCAACATATTGGATATCTAAAATGTAAACCAATGCCATATCAATTTTAATGCTTTAATACTTTGCAGAGACACATGAGGCTCCAGGTGATTTGCTGTTTTGTTTCAAGAATAAAACAACGAATCACCATAGGTCATGCGTTTTTTTTTTTCCCTTAAATATATATTTCTCTTTATTTTTCTTTCTTTCTTTTTTTGTAGATGTGGACAACCACTACAAAATAAAGTACAGCTGAAGGGTCGTGACCTCCTCACTCTAAAGAACTTTACAGGAGAAGAAATTAAGTATATGTTATGGCTATCGGCAGATCTCAAATTTAGGATAAAACAGAAAGGAGAGGTATGGAGCATTTTCTTTCTGATACTACCAACCCGCCTTTTTAAAGACAGCCTTTCCAAAGAAAGAGGGGAAAAAAATATATTAAAATTCCTAAACAGTAGCTAAGTAATGAAACCACACAGTCAAGGTAATTGATTATCACGGAGTGTACAGACATATAAAAAGCATAAAAATCAGTTATTCTATGACAAGTCATTGCACTTCTTTCATGTGGAATGTTGAAATTCATTATTAATTGGATCAGGACCTAAGGAATCATTTCTCTGGAAAGATTTTATTTTTCTACCTTCATTCTTTTCTCTGTGCATTTTCTATCAAGTTAAAAATAAGGATGATACTTTTTTTTTCCTGGCAACCAATTTCAATTAATTAATGCAGCAGCTTCATTTAGGCTGCTTAATTGTGAAAGCATATTTGTGTTCCAAGTTGATTCAAAAGCACTTTAAAGAGCTGGTTTCAGGTTGAGGAAGTTTTATACAACCTTGGTTCTCTTATCTATTTCACTAGCTCTCCAAGTTCAGAAAACAGGAGAGTTTCCAACTGCTGTGAGGTGACATTCTCATATAAGACCTGAAATAGGAGAAAAAGGTCCCCAAGACCCCAGGCCTATTCTTCATACTTTGTGTATAAAGAAAGTCAGCTGGCAGGAATCTGTTTGTTCCAGAACTCATCCTATCGAGAGACTCTATCTCTGAGAAGAGGAAGGAGGAAAGCCCCACCCCACACCCAAACTCTCCAGATTGTTTCCAAATGACTTCCAGGAACAAAGCCTTTGCACTCCCAGGAGGATGTATGATGAAAGTGTAGCTGGGGCTTCATGTTTAGGAGTCTTAATGCCCCATGTTGTGACAGAGTAGCATTGTATCTAGCTGAGAAAACACCTCTGAACCAAGCGTTTTCAAGGTCCTTGAACACTGATATGGGTTTCCATGAATTTAGGTAAAAAGATGGTTCCAGTTGGAAATATCAGCATACTTTGGAACAAGTATTCAGGTTGAACCCAGAGCAACTAATATTTTCTAATTACAAGTCAATAAGCTGTAGGAGTTTTCCTGTTCCCGTCCTCTACTTGTAAAGAACATGAAAAAAAGAACACTTTAAATTCACTTTTTAAGTAATATTTTGAATGCTCATTTGGAGGCAGTTATAAATTATTCTACATCTCCTGATAATGCAAAGAATAGCTTTTGAAACGTAATCTTTGATATTGGATATAAAGTATTTTTCATTTTAATTGTATTCTTGTCCTTAATTTTCAGTATTTGCCCTTATTACAAGGGAAGTCCTTAGGCATGATTTTTGAAAAAAGAAGTACTCGAACAAGACTTTCCACAGAAACAGGTGAGTCCACAGACAAACTTGCGCTTGTGCTGAGGAGGGGGCCAGAGGGTGAGGATCTGGGAGGAGTCGCCCAGTGGGGGAATTTGTCTGTCTTGTTAGCAAGCACAAAGGGAAAACACTGTCACTGGGAGTAGCAGTGCGAGCCTCTGGGTGTTCTTTCCAATTCTCAAAGAAGCTGTAAGCTGAAAGATTAGCGTCATCTGTAGGAATTCCATGAAGACTTGATTACGAGTCCCAAAGAGCTTTTCATGTTCGGTACAAAATGTGAGTGGACACAAAATCTCAGCCCTCAAACTCATGTGGGCAAGAAATGTGTTTTTTCCTAGCAGGTAAAGAATTTTTTCTTGCTTGTTCTAATTTTGCAGGATGGTGGAAACTGAATCTCCTCAATGTTAGGCATCCTCAACCATTTTAGGGTTTCCTTCCTCAATGTAGGCTCTCCTCTCTCTTTCCCCACAGTCATGGGTAAGCCCTGGAGAGTATGTGAAGAAGATGTCCAGGACTATGGGGATCGGGGCATTGGTAATCAGGGTATCATCAGCAGATATTCACACTGGGGTCTGCTGGGACTTTTTTTTTTTTAAAGATTTTATTTATTTATTTGACAGGCAGAGATCACAAGTAGGCAGAGAGGCAGGCAGAGAGAAAGAGAAAGGAGGAAGCAGGCTCCCTGCTGAGAAGAGATCCCAATGCGGGGCTCGATCCCAGGACCCTAAGATCATGACCTGAGTTGAAGGCAGAGGCTCTAACCCACTGAGCCACCAGGTGCCCCTCTGCTGGGACTTCTATATCCCCATTGGACCTTGGCTGCAGTTTGCTTCACTCGGATCACAAGACCTGAAATGTTTCTTGGTTTGACTCTCTCAACCCCTTGACAACTCTCCATGTCATACTGGGTACAGAGATACTGCAAGGCTTTCTCTCTCCTTCTTTCTTCAGGCTGTGTTCCAGGGAGTTCTAGAACATGTGTTGTCTCCTAGAGCTCTGTCTGAAAAGCGAGACACGGGTGTTATCAGCTTTGGAATTCCCCAGACTCACCTAAAATTTCCATCATGCTTCCCACACTTCAGTAGCAGGCCTGCAGGACAGACCACAGGATACAGTGTCAAAGGTCCATCAATTTCTGTTTCTGTTGCTGCTTCTCTCAAGTGCAAGTATCGGGGGCTAGGTGATAAAGCAGGAAGAAAAAACTGGCTCTGACTATCCAAGATTTCTTTCAGATCTACTGTTTGTGCCTGGAATTGTAAGGAATGGAAACTCAGAATTTCTTTTTTCTCAAACTATTAACTCTGTTATATTTCCAAAAGTCCATTTTGAAACTCATAAGCCACATATCACCTCTTTTCTTTCTCTGCATTTCTGCTCTGTCAGATCTCCCTTGAATTAATAACATGACCGCTCAAATGGACAAATGGAGAGGCTCAAGGAGGAGGCACCACAAACAAAAACACACTACTTGATTCTTCAAATATCTCATCCTATCTACAAGCATCAGAGCTTTCTAGGGTCAATTAATTAATTAATTAATTTCAGAGAGGGAGAGAGACAGAGAGAGAGAGAGAGAGAGAGGAGGGGCAGAGAGCGAATGTTAAGCAGGCTCCACATCCAGGGCAGAGCCCAATGCGGGGCTAGATCTCACAACTCTGAGATCACGACCTGAGCTGAAATCAAGATTCAGACGCTTAACCAACTGAGCCACCCAGGTGCCTCATAAGAGCTTTCTAGGGTTTAGAAGCAAACAACTACTTCATGCAGTTCTTGCCTTGTAATAATCAGTAATGAGGTTCATCAAATATATAGCAAAATAGAGTTCGGAGGGATTAAGTGACTTGGTAATACAAATAGCACCAGGATTCAGGTCTCAGGTTTACTGTTCTTACTAATGCACTCCCCTTGACCCTGGAGAGAAGAAAGGAGGGTGAGGGGAAACACCCATAATGTGTCACCTTGTCTTTTAGTCCCAGGAAGAAAACATATGAGAACATACTGCCTTTTTAAAAAAAAGATTTTATTTATTTATTTGACAGAGAGAGAGGGATCCCAAGTAGGCAGAGCGACAGGCAGAGAGAGAAAGAAGCAGGCTCCCTGCTGAGCAGAGAGCCCGATGGGGGGCTCGATCCCAGTACCCTGAGATCAGAGCCTGAGCCGAAGGCAGAGGCTTAACCCACTGAACCACCCAGGTGCCCCTACATACTGCTTTTTAAAGATGGGTCCTTTAAGAAATCATGTTGACATTTGAGGAAAAATAAATATTGCATAAACCAGTCAGTAATTCGCAAATTCTGTTCCTTTATAAGACTGACCTTCTATGAGTTGGGCAGAATTTTATTTTATCATTAGTACTTAAGAGAGGTGTTCTTGTTCTGAAGTCATCAAAAGAATGGATGAGTACATAGACATGAGTACATACCTCAATTTTAAGGTTTTTAAAATTAATTTTTCTTAGTTGTTGGTGTTTTCTACACCTTTTCTCTGTACAGACGCTATGCTATTTTTGATGTCAAATATCCCTGAATAACTTATCAGTTTTGCCATTCACATATAATGTAGTAGTTAAGCTATTAATAAAACCAAGAGGGAAGACTTAATAAGCCTTCGGGTGCAGATCCTGTGCCAAGTGTTCCACATTAATTACAGGGATTATCTCACTTAATCCTTATGACAATTCCATGAGGACAAGACCATTGAGGAAAACAGGCAGAAACGGGTTCAGCAAATGGCCCACAGACACATAGCTAATAAATGGCAGACCCAGGATTGGAAGCTATGACTAAATGTATTTTTTAAGTATCTAATTTAATTTGAACACGTCATAGTCATGTTTTATTCCAGTAAAATTGTTTCCACAGATGGCATTAAACATTTTGCTAGGCGGTGGTTTTCTATATAGAAGCTCTCTGAAACAGGCACAAAATTGCAAACTGTAACAACAAATACATGAGAAAAGCAACATCTGACCATAAAAAGTTATGGTTCACAGAGTAGTCACCATTATCTTCAATAAATATCCATGAGTCTAATTGTATATGGCACCCAGTCAAACGCAACAGGAGGAGAATCTGTCAGAGTTAGGAGTTGCTTTAAATGTTTACAGAAACAGTAAACACAGTAAACCTCAACCCAAATCACAGCAGAGCATTTCTATAATGCGCATGTGCCTCATCCGTTGTCCTTTGGCACAATTCTTCATCAAAACCTGTTATGTTGCTATTCAGAATGGAAGTAGGATGTAATTAAAACTGTCTATTCTTGCCTCGGATTTGTGCCAGCCTCATCATAGGAAAGTCCTGGAGGATTCCATCCCCAGCCTGAGTGGCAGAGATACAACCGTATTTCTACTTATCTCAGAGGACAGAATAAAATTCGCCACTCAACTTAAGCCATACGAATTGCTCATGTAATATTTTCATTAAGGTGTAACATGTCTACCGAAAAGTGCACAAATCCTGAAGTATATAGTTCGATGAATTCTTACAGTAAAAATATCCTTGTAATTAATAGCCAGAGAGAGAAATAGGACATTAAGAGCACCCAGAAGCCCTCCCTTGTATCTCCTTCTAGTTGCTACTCCCCCTACCAAAGGGTAACCATGATCCTGGTTTCTCACACCACAGATTCCTTTTGCCTGTGATGGAGTCATTCAGCATATGCTCTTTTGTGTGTGGTTTCTTTTGCTCGGCACTACGTTAGTGAGATGTGCCGACGTCACTGTGTGTAGCTGTAGATCATTTATTCCTCCCCCACTCTGTGTATACGCCTGCCAGGCAAACTGTGCAATTCTCCTGCGTGTCTACCGATGATTATATTCTTTTATTGCAAATTAATTGAGCAGATAGAGGGATACATTTATTAATCTCGGTAAGTGCAGTAGCTGATAGAAAAAACGCACAAGGCATCCTAAGAGAGGGTTCTTTTCATTATTTAACTTTGGCATTTCACTTTCAAGGAGACAAAGAAGCTGATGCTTTCCAAGCTATTTCAAATGTATCATCTTTACGAAGATGACAAAATAAAAAATCGTGATGCTATTCTGCAGGTATGAAAAAGAAGCACAGGGAGACTCATGGCTGCCTTAGTTCTGCCACCAAGAGCCCTCAGAGCCCTCACATTTCTAGTGCATGAATTCTATTTATACCTTTCCTTCCAAAGCTTGCACGGATCTGTGAGGGAAAGAGCAAAATCAGATGTACACTTATTTTCCCAGGCAGAAACCAAGATATTAATAGAAGAAAATCTTTGTTCAAAAATATCCCACACGAATGCATAAACAGATGACAGATAAAAGCAGACTTCTATGGATGAAGGGTGAAGAGAGAGGCGAGCCCCATCCCTCTGCCCTCCCCTCCTTGGCAATGGTGGCTCCTGGAGGCTTCTCCAAATCCCTGATGCTCTCCAGAAGCACCTATCACCAGCCAGGTCCAGTAAGCTGGCAAATGCTTGACCTGCGCTTTTTAAACTGGGGTCTGAGGCTCCTTTCTGACCAGTGACCACAATTGCAAAGGAAATTCCTTCTCAGAGGCAATGTCCCCCTATCTTATCTCCTTCGAGAACTGCTGAAGGCTTGGACTCCCACTTCTTAACATTTTCTATAACCGCTCTCCCTACTCCTATCTCATAAGCCCAGGCTTGAGGTGAATCTTCTTTGTAGCTCAAAGAGGAAAGTGAAAAGGCAGCACCCTAATCCTGCATTGTTACAGCAAAATAACTTTTAGTCAAAGTAAGAGTATGACTTGGAGCAGACCTGCTGAGAGGTCTTAAACTGTTTCAAACCTCCCTCCATAGTTTCCAACCCTCAGTGACATTCAGTTCTGTACTAGGCGTACAGTAGGTGCACAATAAATACTTTCTTGGTAAATGTGCGGTATTCACATTTGTTTAGGTGATGTTCCCCGTTTAGAAACACATTAAATACTCAAGAGTGATTATGGACTATAATCACTAAATTCCCATCAGTCCACTTCTCACATAATAGAAAATTCTGTTCTTTCTGCTAATAACACTAGGAGACGTTTGCAAATGAAAAGAATGGGTCCCCTCCCTAGAGTCAAAATCCCCCCTACTTTCATTCAATAAGGATTTGTTGAGTCCTTACTATGTACCAGTATGTATTCTAGGTTCTTGAGAGTGATAAATCAGTGAACAAAACAGAGGAACTTTCCTGCCTTCCTTGATCTTGTGTTCTAGTGGGTACACAGACAATAAACAATAGACATAATAAATAAGTGGATGATACAGTATGATGGAAATAAGGAGAAGAATGTTCCTGGAGCTGAGGGCAAAACATCTACTCCATTATTTGAACTTGGCTTTTGCTCTGAGTGAAATGGAGAATCTTTGGAGGGTTTTTTTTTTAAGACTTTATTTATTTATTTGACAGAGAGGGAGAGTACAAGCAGGGGGAGAGATCACAGGTAGGCAGAGAGGCAGGCAGAGGGGGGAGATGCAAAGGGACAGAGAGCCAGATGCAGGGCTCAATCCCAGGACCCTGAGATCATGACCTGAGTCAAAGCCAGAGGCTTAACCCACTGAGCCACTCAGGCACTCCTCTTTGGAGGGTTTTGAACAGAGGGATATGATCTAACTTCCATTTTAAAAAGCTCTCTTGGACGGCTCTGTTGAAAATAAACTGCAGGGGTTGGGGGTGGAGACAAGGTAGAAGCAGTGAAATCCATCAGTAGGTAGCATAATACATGGAGGCAAGGGCAAAGTGGTAGCAGTGGGAGGGGGAAGTAAGAGGGGTTGTGGATATGTTTTAAAGGGACAGCCAAAAGATTTCTGATGTATTAGGTAAGAGAAGAGACCTTAAGGATGACTTCAAGGTTTCTACCTGAGCAACTGTAAGCAGGATGGACCAGGTGGAGCAGGATGGAAGGGAAGATCAAGAGTTCAGCTTGGGAAGTACTGAGTTTAAGAAGTCTGTTAGAGGGGTGCCTGGGTGGCTCAGTGGGTTAAAGCCTCTGCCTTCGGCTCAGCTCATGATCCCGGTGTCTTGGGATCGAGCCCTGCATCGGGCTCTCTGCTTGGCAGGGAGCCTGCTTCCTCCTCTCTCCCTGCCTGCCTCTCTGCCTACTTCTGATCTCTGTCTGCCAAATAAATAAACAAAATCTTTAAAAAAAAAAAAAGAAGTCTGTTAGATACATGAGCAAAGATGTTGAGAAGGCAGTTGGTTATTAGTTTGGGGTATGGGAGTGAGATTTATCCTAGAGATATTTGGGAGTCATCACCATATAGATGGCATTTTAGGCCATGAGGCTGGATATGATTAGAAAGGGAATGAGTATAGATGGAGCGAAGAAGACCAAGGACTGGGCCTGGGGGACATCAAAATTATAAAGATTGTCCTGGGCAATGTGTGAGGAAGTTTATCAAGGAGAAGATGGTGAACAAATTTGTTAAATGCTGCTAATTCAAGAAAACTGAGAACTGAAATGGCCATTGGATGTATCATTGGTAAGTGATGAAAGGAGTTTTGGTTCAGTGTTGGGGGCAGGCAAAGTCTTATGGGGATAGGTTTGAGGGAAATGAGAAAAGAGAAACTCAAGAGAGAAAGAAAAAGCAAGGTTTTGCTGCAGAGGGAGCAAAGAGTTAAAGGGTTATTAGCAGGAGAAATAGGGACAAGAGAAAATTTGCATTTGTTTTTTATTAATGAGTGAAAAAATGAGAAGAGAATTTTTATGATGAAGGTAATGTAAGGGAGAAAGGGAAGAATTGCTAGAGCAATGTTCTTGAGTATGCAAGAAGGCATGGTTTCTAGTACACACATAGGATATAAAAAGATCATCTATGCTTAATAGGAAGGAAAGCAGAATATATGGGTACAGATGCTGGCAGGTGGGGAAATGGGTGGTGGAATCTGGAAGTTCTCTGATTGCTACTGTCTTTTTAGTGACCCATGAAGCAAGGTCACCGGCTGAGTGCTGGCTCTACTTTCCAAAACATATGAAGACTCCAATAACTTTGTCATCATTTCAGGGGCTACCATCCTGGTCCAAGCTATCAGCTCTCACCCAAAGTTTTGCCAATGGGTCTAGGAACGGGTGTCCCTGCTTCTGCCCTTGCCCCACTACAGAGGTTGTATTAAAACATAAGTCTACCATGTGACTCTTCTGCTCTAACCCTCTAAGGGCTTTCTGTCTTACTCAGACAAAAGTCAAAGTTGTTGCTTCCTCTCTACCTACCTTCTGCAACCTCACCTCCTACTACTCTCCTCCTCACATACTCTGCACCTTCCCTACCAATCTTCTTGTGCCTTGAACCCACCAGTCATGCTCCTTTCTAAGGACCTCGGGACATTCTCTTTCCACCATCTGGTATGTTTCAGTGTGGCTTCCTTGACCACATTCAAATTACAACTCATATTCCTTCCATTCCCTATCCCCAGCCCCCACTCTATTTTTCTTATGACACTTAACAACATCTAACATACAACATATTTAATTAACTCATTCAGTTTATTACTTGTCTCTCCCCATTGGAATGTAAGTTCTATGTAAGCAGGGAATTGTACCCTGTTGTTTATAATGTTTTCCCCAGTGCATAGAGTATCACCAAACACATGCTTTTAGAATGAATGAATAAATTTCAGAACCATGCTGCGATGCCAAGGCCTATTATGATCACTCTACAGAGATGAAATGTGCCTTCCACCAAAATTTGGTTTGATTGTTGATGGTGAGGATGCCACACATGTACCAGAAGGGTATGAACAGGTTTGTTACTCACATAATGTGGCTTTCTGGGTAGGGTAGGACTGTGTCCCATGCTGGCCTTAGAGTGGCATTAGAGAGTGGAGAAATGATACTGGCCTGGATGTGGATAGGAGGTAAGGTTGGGGTGAAGATTCCCATGCACAGAGCAGGCCTTGTTTAGTTTGAACCTCCTGCTAGTGCCAAAGGAAGGAGCATGTGCACTTTCTGACTAGCTTGCCCAGATACAGGGTAGAAAGAGAAGGAAGTGTGATGGTTGGCTTTACAACTGGTAGTAGTTAAACATCATAACTGGAGTCAGACTCTTTACTACAGGACCCATTGCAAGTAGGATCATTACTGTGTTTCATGTTGTCTGATTTTACCTGGGATGTAGCACAGCACATCTGCAAGGGATCTTAGGGCTCTAGGCCAGTTGCCTGATTTTCCAGATGAAGACTGAGTCCAGCTCCACTATATTGTCCTGTCTTTGCAAATTCCAATGTAAGTCGGCTCAGGGCATGGCTCCCCTGCGGCAAACCCTAGGGGTACAAGTTCTTAAAAACATTCTTGAACAAGGTTTTAAGCTCTTGATTCTCAGAATCCTTGTCTCTAAATTCTTATATAGAATATCTCCTGTACTTTTGTTAGAGTGAAGGTTTCAATGGAAGAATGTTTATTAAGTGTCAGCTTATGGCAATGTTCTGTGAATAGCCATTGCTAGAGTCGGAACATAGTACCCTCTAGCTAAAAACCATTTGGTTTGGACATATTTAAGCCAACACTCTTAAACAGTATAAGATAGGTAGGATATAATTATTTCATTCCATTTCAGAAGGAACTACTTACTTCCTTTTTTTTTTTTGACCTACAATTTCTATCAAGGTATAAAATAGTCCCATTACCCTATAAAGTTCACCAATGCTCCTTCCCAGCTACTCAACCTCTCCAGAAGCAAATGCATTTTTTAATTTCTGCCACTGTCTGGCAATTTTGCCTGTTCCAGAACTTCATATAAGTGGGATTATACATCATCTACTCTTTTGTCTGTAGCTTCTTTCATCTAGCCTAATGTCTGTGAGATTGATCCATGTTGTATGTATTAGTAGCTCATTCCTTTTTATTACTGAGTAGTATTCCACTGTAATCCACAATATCCCACACTATAGTTTCTTTTCCCATTTTCTGGGATGAAAATCATCATATATTTTAAAGAACCAAAACCAGGCATGGCCTCCAAAAGGGAATGATGCCCCATTATTGTCAGGTTCTTAACAATAGGGAGGAGAAATGGGTACATATCTGAAGGAGAGTTGAGGGTACAGAATTCCCTAGCAGAGACGATAGAGAGTTTTAAAGATTTTGACTTTTCAATTAAGATAGTGCCAATTCCTCATAATTTTGTTTGCTACTTTGGTTCTTTTTTTTCCCAAAAGACTATTTCTTTTTCTTTTTCTTTTATTATAGGTTTTGCACTTCTGGGAGGACACCCTTGTTTTCTTACCACACAAGACATTCATCTGGGTGTGAATGAAAGTCTCACGGACACAGCCCGGTTGGTAAATCTTCTCTTCAAAGCTTATTTCAGAAGTGGTGAATTTCAAAAAGAAGATATACTTCTCTTTAAATAAGGTTTTTTTCCCCCTGCTCAGCATCCTTTGTACTGTTCTCTGTTTCCTCCCTTCTCTCTTTGTCTGATGTTCCGAATGCTTCTCCCTTCATCCTCTGGTCACTTTCTGTGGTTTAAGATACTTTTCTTCTTAGAAATTTGAAGAGATTACTGATTATAGAATTTCAAACTTAGAGAAACTTAGAAAGTGTCAAGTGTAACTCATATTTTACAGTTGAAGAAATAGATGTCCAGGGAAACTGACATGGTCAATGACTCATAACTAGTTAGCATCAGAGCAAGTAATACTATTAATAGCTAACATTTATTGAGCATTTAATATGTGTTAGGCATTGTTCTAACTCATTTAATCCTATAACAACCCAAATAGATTGGCATAAAGAGGTGAAACAACTTAATTAGGAACGTACTAGCTACTATAATATAAAATCTCAAAATGTTGGTGGCTAACATAGTGTGGATATTCCTGATTGGTAAGACAAAAGAATTTATCTACCCCATTTGAATTGCTAAAGAGATTTGAAATAACTCATCTTTAAGCCTTTTAGTGACATTATTTCAGATGGGACAACGTTAGTGTTAAGAAGTGCTGTGTTCATCTTCTGGACGCATGGAACTAAAAGAATAAGTAAACATAAATGAGTTTTTCTTCCAACTATGCTGCCACTGACTGGGATTACATTTGCCTAATAATTCTGGTTCCACAAAAGTAAACTAAACTTTACTCAAAAGCAAATATTACAAGCAGGTTAAGGGATGAGGCCCAGGGCACATCCAGGAGAGAAGTTTTAGTGGGGATTTGCCACAGAGAACCAAGAGAACGATGGTGAGTAAGTCCCGTGTGAACTAGTGGCTGGAAAAGAATAAAGCTAGAGGAATAGCTGAGCATCCAATAAAGGGTTACAGAGTGCAGACTGGCTATGAGAAAGAGGTCAGGACCCAGAAATCAGTGGAGTGGGCAGGACCCTAAAAGCAATAGACAAATAACCAAGCATGGGTTGAAAGCTGAGAATGAGTATAAATGTGTTCTTTCTGTGCTCGCTCTCCACACAACAATTCCCACTGCAAGTCCTTAGTTAGAGGAGCTCTACGCAGATCCTGAGAAAAACAATCTGCTCACAAGTTCCAACATAATTGGAACCTTTTAGTCTATATAATTAGCTCCACTGCTACATGGATATATGGATACATAAATGTGGATCCATAGAATTAATTCTGATCATTCCATCTTATCCAAGAGTCTGAATAAAAATAATAGCTCTTCCCTAGAAGGTGGATTTCTTGTACTATTATATCAAAATCTTTGTAAAAACCTTAAAAATTACATATTATTGGCCTAGTTTTATAGACAACAAAAGCATGACTCAGAAAAGTAATGGAGCTTAGCAACTAAGTCAGCATTTAGATCATGCTCTTTTTTTTTCTTTAAGGTGATGCTGTTTTGACTATTCCTACCACCTCTTATATATAGCCCATAAGAGTGGCAGTGAAATACATTATGGAAAGCATTGGCTTGCATGTCATGAGGTCCCCAGGACCACCCCATGTTTGATGATTCACTAGGAGGATGCATGGACTTAGCATACAGTCATAATATTCACAGCTGTGATTTATTACAGTGAAATTATGCCAAGCACAATCAATGAAGGAAAAAGGCACATGTAGCAAAGTCCAAGGGAAACCAGGTGCAAGATTCCAAGAGTACTTTCCCAGTAGAGTCAATCAGGACACCTTTAATTCCCTTAGTAACAAGTTGTGACAATGCCTGTGAAATGTTGCCAACCAGGGAAGCTCTTTAGAGACTCAGTACTCAGGGTTTTTATTGGGGGCTGTTCACATAGCATCCTCTGTTTGACATGTACCCAAATCCAGACTCTCAGAAGGAAAGCTGGTGTTCACTTTAAACCATATTTTTTGTAAGAAAAAAAAAATTAGGCACAGTAAGCCACTGTTATCAGTCCTGGAAACCCTCTCCAAATCAAAGTTCCCAGATGCCATCCAAAGGCCAACATTATACGCAGGCCTTTCTTCAGAAAAAAACCCAATTATTTTATTTTATTTATTTATTTGAGAGAAAGAGAGTAGGAGGGTGGGAATATCGAGAGGGTCTCAAGCAGGCTCTGCTCCACCCTGAGCACTAAGCCTGACACGGGGCTTGATCTCGCAACCCTGAGATCATAACCTGAACCAAAATCAAGAATCGTATGCTTAACCGACTGAGACACCCAGGTACCCCCATGCAGGCTTTTAAAAGGCTACCAGTCAGGCATGACTTGAAAATTATAAGGCTTGAGATCTAGTCCAAGCTTTGCCACTTACCTATCACTGTGACTCATAAGTGAAAACTTCCCTGGATCTTAGTTTCCTTTTCTATAAAATAAGGGCTTTCTGATCCTTAAGGTGCAATTTATACTCTCCATTGCATGTGAATGGATTAGGTATCAAGCGGTTGTCTTTACACAGAGGTGTATCTCAATGCAGAACTCTAGGCCCCATACTCAGAAATTTTAATTCTGCAGTGAGAGCTCAGATCGTTTTCAGGAATCTATAACAAGCTCCTCAAATGATTCTGCTGCCTGGGTGGCTGGACCATACTTTGCAAAACCCTGAATTAGAAGGCTCTGTAGTAATCTTGGGGTATTGTGCTGTCAATCTATGCTAGAGTGTGAGTGAAGGGAATGGTAAAGAAGGGATAGCTAATAAAATATGTATATGGTTTCAAGATAACTGATTGTGAAGGGTACATTGATAGTGGAGAAAGAATGATTTCAGATTTGTTATTCTTAAAATATATGTGGGTACATTAGCAGAAGCAGAAAATTGAAAGGAGTTTCTGCTTTGGACAGTAGGTGCTAGATTAGGTATTAGACATATTGCATTAAAGGCTGAACCTCCGATGCAAATGTCCACAAGCCACTGGAGATAGACCTTGGATGAAGCTGAGAGCTGGATAAATAGAACCATAAACTCAGTGGTAGAAAATGAGCTCCAGAATTTCCTTGTGGGAGAATTGCAGAAGGCTGAACCTTGAGGACAGGTGCAGTCAGGGAAGGCAGAAGGAAATACTTAGGGTACAAGGAGAATAAGCATAGTGCACTAACAGAAGAGGCTGAAATGAGCAATGGAGACGTCAGAGAGGGGGGCACAGTAGCTTCTACAGAATCTGACTTTCTTCTATGAACCCCATTACTGCTTAATCTGCCAAAATATCTGACAAACAAGATATGGCTGAAATTCAGAAATTCAATAAATCTAAATTGAAGAAGGCAAGAGAAATCCACTGCCTTTCACAGAAGCAATTGAATTGGAGAAGCAAGGAAGTGAATCTTAATGACATCTACCCTGCCAATATGCAGCATACAATCCATAGCAATTGCCTCCTTGCTTTTTGTGGAAATCCAACCTTGTAAGATGCAAAGAGATTGGATGATGTTTAAATGACAGTGCTGGCCTTTTCAAATCAAGAAGATGGTGCACACCTGACACTGATTGATGGTGTTGCTTCTCCATCTGCCTGTCTGGCTACTTTGGGGGTCCGGTGAAATGAAAACAGTGACTGCCCATTGATGAAAGGAGAATGTAAAGGGGAATACAGTGAATATGGCAACAAGGAAAAAAAAAGGCAAAACTGGGCTAGTCTCCTAAAAGCTGTTAAGTGCAATTTCTAAATTGTTAATTATTTAGTCAAATGATTTAATTATTTGTGTATTCAAAAATATTTATTGAATGCCTAGTTTTTCTTCCAGGAATTGTTTTAGCACAGAATAAAATGCTGATCAAATCAAACAAAATCCTTGTTGGAAATTATATTTCAGTGGGAGGAGGCTTTCACTAAACAAAGCATGAATAGAACAGCAGGTTGGGATATGTCCTATGACGCAGCAAAAGCAAGGTGATCTGTGGGTGGGGTGGGGCTGGCTTTAGATAGTGTGGTCAGGAAAGGCTTCTCTCCAGGGAGATGACAGTTGACACGGACTGAAAAGGCAGAGGCAGGTATGCAAACCTGTGGGAAAAAGCAGTACAGACAGGAAAAGCTGCTACAAAAGCTTGAGGCAAGAACAAGTTTAATGTATTCAAGAACAGAAGGACAGCAAGCAGTATTTTAAAATTTGCAAGTAAACATATTTTAGATATTCAAATAATTTAAGAAGTACCCTTACAAGTTAGTCCTGTTTCAGCCACCAAGAGGACCAAGAAGTACCCAAATACACATCCAAAATAAAACGTGTTGCTCTTTACTTGACTACAAGAATTAAAACCTGTCCACTCTTCAAAATATCGTGGGTAAATTCTCCTTAGCTAAGTCTGAGTTCAGTATTGTGTAATCTGAGGGTGCTAATGGGGAATAGGGGCACACTGAGGTGGAACTGTTGGCTGATATTGTGGAAGAGCTGGTGTGTCAGGGTCCCCCAAATCACTCCCAGGTTCAAGAATTCATTAGGAGGACTCACTCATAGGACACAATATATGGTCATACGAATGGCTAAGATCCATTACAAGACAAAACAAAACAAAAACAAAAACAAACAAACAAAAACCTATAAAACAAAACCAGCAAAGGGAAAATGTACATGGGGCCAAGTCCAGGGTAGACCAGGCACAAGCTTCCAAGGGTCCTCTCCCTGTAGAGCCACACAGGACATGCTTAATTCCCCCCAGTAATGAGTTGTGTCAACACATGCTAAATGTTGTCTATCGGGAAAGCTTGTTAGAGACACAGTGCTCAAGACTTTTTTTGACAGCTGGTGACATGGGCACCCTCAGCCTATTATAAACCCAAATTCTAGAATCCCAGAAGGAAGGGAAATGTTCGGTGTAATCCATAGTGTTTATAGGTTTTAGGCAGTGAGCCATCCTTACTATATCCAAGAATGATGGAAACCCTCCAAAAGTCCAAGTTCAGGATGCCAGCCAAGGGCCAACCC